GAACTGGGAGGTTTCCTGCTAGCATCTAGGGGATGAGGCCAAGAATGTTGCTAAATACCTCCAGCATATAGGATGGCCCCACAGCAAAGCATTTCTGGTACTAAATAGTGCCAAGTTGAGAAACTCTTGTCTGATCTCTCTCTCTCTCTCTCTCACACACACACACACACTTTATTTTAAGAATGTAAACACTTACTTGAGAGAGAGTCAGGGAGGAAGAGAGATGTATTCATTGGCTCATTCTTAACATACCCATGACAACTGCTGCTGGGTTAGAGCTGAAGTCAAAAGCCAGGAGAGCCAGGCACTCCATTCACATGCATGTCAGAGACTCAAGTACTTCGGCCACCACCTGCTCCCTCCCAAGGTATATTAGCAGGAAGCTAGAATTGGGAGCTGGAGCCAGGAATTATACCCAGGTACTTGAATGTAAAATGCAGGCACTTAGCTTGGCTATATATATATATATATATGTTGCTGGCACAAATGATTGGGAACTGTTTTATAAAATAAGGAATACTTACTTTTGAAGGAAGGGGTTGTGGAGAGAGTGTGGTGCTGGCTAAATAAAGAGTTTGGTGGGAAGGAACTGAACAGTAATTGATGCAAACGGAAGTGTGCAGCCAGGGTCAAAACCCAGGAAAGAGCTGGTGTTTGTCCTAGCAGGCCAAAGCCTTGGGTAAGAACCTTGAGAAGGATCCCTGTGGCAGGTGCAAAGGGTGGGAACACTGCCACCAAACTGCTGGGAACAGAAGGGGTACAGAGGAGGAGACCAGAACAGGATGGGCTCAGAAAGGCTGGGCCAGCAGGGATGGTGGGTTGGGCAGCAGCTTGGTCCCAGGCTGAATGCCCTTGAACTGGAGCTGAGAAGAAAGCTTGAATTCCGCCCGTGGGAAGTGTCCACTCAGGGACAGAGGCCAGCATATTAAGATGGACCTGAAGCCAACCCAGGCTGCCACTTGTCTGCTTTTTACCTGTTCCCATAGCCTTGGATTCTATCATCTTGTGTTCACCAAAAGAGACAAAGGCATGTGCTTTAGATGAGGTCAGGGCATCTAGTGAAGTCCCTGACATCTGTGCCTTTGGCACATTCAGATAACTTAATTCTCAGAAAAGGAAGGAACATCAACGCCTGCCTTTGTCTGCACATGTGCCTGGATTGCAGACTGTTACCGCTCTTTGCTGCCATGCCTGGGTATGTCAAGAAGCTCTTCATTTAATTTTTTTTTTTGAGAGACAAATGTGTTCTGTGTTTTTTAAAAACAGTGGCACATTTTCTAGAGTGCTATTGTCACTTAATAGTATTTAGTGGGAGACAATGTCTCCAATACTCAATGGTTCACTGCATAGACTGATTACCTCTATGTTTAAATTAAACAAATGCAACTAGAGAGGAAGAGTGAGGGAGGAGGGCAGAGAAATGCTGGAAAAGTGGAGAGAAACAGAGACGGTGGGAGCAAGCAGGGGACACAGAAAGGCTGAGAAAGAGAAATTGGAAGTTCAAGTTCATGGTTGTGCAGTGGAATCAAATCTTCCCTAGTTTGGTTTCTTTTTCTGTTACCTTCACTAGACTGTCAATCCAGAGTTTATTGGAACCTGTTTTTATGGGGAAGATTTCAGAGCCACCCCATTCCTGACTCTACTGAAAAGTAATTGCAATTCTTCTCTATTCTTATAAGATGCCGAAGAAATTCCAATTTGAGATTATATTTCTTTGGCAGCTTAACTGTTTAATTCTTTGGATGTGGGTCACTTCAAACATCCCACAACTTACAATTTCCATTGTTTTAAAGTCATACAGAGTCAACACAGTTACAGAAACACACACACACACACACACACACACACACACACACACACACACACACACACACACGGCAATGGAAGCAGAAACCTTACTACTATGTGGCGCTTCTACTCCCAACTACCAAAGGAGAAACACACCCAGCTCCTTGATGCCCCAAATCAGGACATTATGCTTTGAGCAGAATGCTCTAGAACATGCCATCTCTCTAAAGAAAGCTGGGACACAGCAGCCAAGCACAGAATGCCGTGGAGGGAGAGCTGCACAGAATAGTCTCCCAGGAAGGGTTCTGTTTAAACGCGGCCAGTGGCTGATGGGCAACAGGGGCTTGCAGAGCAGCCAGATGAAAGCTGTTTGGCACTTGGAATATGATTGGAGTTTCTGGTGAAAGAGATGTCATGACTTTAAACTCTACTGAAACCGCAACCACTGCCACTTCTCTGGTTTCCAAACTTGTTCCTTCTCTCGAACTTCTGGGGACTAGAAGAGTGCAGTCAAAACTGACCATGCTGACTGATCCGGAAACAACCAATCATTACTTTTTTTTCCTGGAAAGACAAGGAGTGCCTATCTTCTGAACAGCTGACGGATTTCCATGATTTGTCACTTTCAAAACTTTGCTTTCTCATACTCCTTCTGGGATATGACAGACACCCTGTTCTGCATCTCAGTTCTCCTCACTGTGAAAATCACATTACTTCCTTCTTCTCTTAGTACTTGATGCTTTATTTTAAATGTGATTCCATGAACTGAACTACCTACCTTCCTTCCTTCCTTCCTTCCTTCCTTCCTTCCTTCCTTCCTTCCTTCCTTCCTGTTCTGAATGTTTTTAAGAGGTTCCTAATATTTTCCTCTCTTGGGTATATATTAAAACACTTAGAGAAACAGCGGAAACAAAACACAAAATTATTCTAAAGCCTGCTAATAAAGATGATCATGCTTGCTCCACAAAGGGAACATAGCGTTCCTTTATTTCAACAATGTGTACCCACCATGTTCTCCTTTCTTTCCCTGTCCTTGCCTTACTCTTTTTTGTCCTTTATTTTTCATTTTTTTTAAAAAACAAAATTATGCCCGTTCTCTGTGTACTAGAAAAGCCCAATCAAAAGCTAGAGAGTAAGCCATTCTAGAAAAGTAAAGAAAATTTAAAACAGCTGCCTTATTGAAGTTACAGAACTGTAGTAACAGCAACAAACACAGAAACAATTATGAATTTCATGAAAACAAATACAAGCCCGATTGGAAAATGAGAACTGTCCCCCTCCGAGTACCTGTTTATACTCTTAACTTTGCCTTGATGAGGCTCTACTGATGTGCTCTAGCAACAACAAAAATCAATAGTGGATCAATATGGATAAGCATGTTGAGTACGACCTTCTGTCCTAAGAGACAGTCAACAGCTAGGTTTAGTTTTACTGGGATTTGCTGGAAGACTTGAAACAGTAAATAATAACGCTTTAAGAATATTTGTCTGCTTTGATTTAGTGAATTTGGCAGGTGGCAGTGGCTTTGTAATAGCATATGGGTTTGAGAAATTACATCAATATATGCAGACAATGTGTCTTTTCCTCCAGCTGATGCATCAAAGTAATTAGCAAAAAATCCCTAGTGTCACATTTTGTAAGCAAACATTTCCCAACATTGCTTGAAGAAAATATCATGGAAAAAACGAAAAGGAAAAGAACTGAAAGAGGCAATACAGGAATTTTTAAGAATACCTAGACAGAAACATTAAAAAAAAAACCCGTATTTTCCTATGATCCATGAAAAGATATATCCATGAACGATATACCCAACTAGGCTGAATGAGGCAATGCTAATTTCTTCTTTTTCAAAGGTGCATTGCTTATAATAGTGAGACAGAGTACACACAATTCAATCTATTTCAGATTTGCCCTTACAGACTTTCCATGCCACGGCCCTTATCATAAACGGGAGACTCTGGTGTTCTTCAGGAGGATAGGAAATTAGGTGAAAATACTGACTAACTTAACAAACTAAATTCTGTCATTTTGTTTACACTGATTAAGCATTATAGAACAATGTTATACATAATGTAAACATTACACAGGGAATTTAATTTCAGCAATTTCTGTATTGGTTTTCTTAACAGGCTACATTTAATCACATTAAGAAAAGCTAATGACAATTTTTATAGAAAGCATAATCAAATAAACCATAATGTCACAGAGAAATTTACCTTCTAAGACCAAAGGACATCATATGTTTGCCAATTATGGAAATCTACAAAGTTGATTCTCTATGTATAGCCTGTGGATTATATGCAGAATAATCAAGTTTCTGGCATATGTGCATTAGAATTTAAGATATTTTTAAAAGTACATCTTCTGGTAGTTATTACCAAGTCCCTGAGCACGACCTGTTCACTTCCACTGTAATTGTTTGTAACACACAAAATATTTTATTTATAGAAAACTAAATTGTTCTAGATAGTCACAGTGTTTATGAAGACAAATAGATATTGCACATTATTTTAATACTGGATTTTTAAAAAGGCAATCTCACTTGCTTTCGTATACAGTTTATTTGACACAATTCTAGGAATGTTATACTTCAGGAACACAAACGCCAGATAAAATACATCAGTTTTTATTTGAGTTTTACATTCCAAGAATTCTATATAGTTGCAAATAGATCTTTTTTTCCAGTTACCTTGACAAGTAAATCTATGAAAACACTTAGAAACTCTAACAAATCAGTTCAGTATGTCAAAGAGATCACTGAAATATTTTATTAACAAAAAGATATTTTCACCAAAGCATCAAGAAAAAGTCCAGTAGGTTTTTAATGTGGACCCAAACAGGGGAGACTTACGGCGCTACCTTCTCTCTAGCAAGGGGAAGCCACTTAAATAATTTTTTTTCAGTAAAGAATGTGGCAATATTCACTTTGGGCAATATATACATGTAATATACATATATATGTCACACTGCAGAATACAGCCTAGAAAAACCAACTCAATTCCACTTTTATATATAAAGACAATAATGCTTGAGGATTTTTGTGCTCAGATCGTCCTTCAATCACCTAGCAACCTCCCTTACAGCTGATTTTAATTTCGAATATTCAGTGTTCAAATTCAAAAATCTGACAACGCAGATGCAAACAGCAACTTTCAGACGCAACGGAGACACACACTGAAACTTTGAACAAATGGAAGCGATGTGGTCCCTACCTTTTCTCTGAGAGTACGATGGTGACCGCCCTTGAGGAAAAGTAGGCTTTTCTTCAGTGAAATATTCAGGCTGGCCGTACTGATTCAGGGCCATGTCCAAGTCAGAGTCCTTGCTTTTAAACATGTTTCCAGGGTAACTACAGGTATAAGGCTGGTTCAGTGCCCAGGCCTGCTCCATATATATACTGTGGCTGGGCACAGCCACTGCTCCACAGCTATTGGAACCTGGACTGTCTTCCAAACACGCGTAGGAATCAGAGAGTTGCATGGAGCGATTGCTGCTGGCAGCTGGGTGCACTTCATATATTTCTTGCATACAGGAGTTCATTTTGGTACCCTGGTTCAGTTTCTACTTTACATATATGCACCTTCTATGCATGCAGGCAGAACTCCAGGCCCCCTATGAGCCAGGCATATACACTCAGAAGCATACATCCATACACATGAAACAGAGGGGAGGACACACAAACACCACCCCACACTGCAACCCAGCCGGCTTTCCTCTGCAATAGCACTTGATGTGCTAAAATCCTATTTTCACGGAGGTGTCTTTGGAGCTCTCCTGCCATTCAAACGTATTGGAAAGCAGATTTATGACTAAAGGTCTTAAGCTGTACATGCAGCTAATTCCTGGGGAAGATGGTAGGCAGGTGGGAATGACCTCCACCCAGACAGGAGGAGTGACAGGCAGGCAGGTTCCTGGTACTCTGACGTTGTGAAGATTCATCTTACATGCTGCTTTTAACCCCTTTCAACGTGATTAGAAAATGATTACTCATGGTGATGTCAGTTTGGTTGACAACTTAAGCCTGAAACATGATAAAGACATCTGAGAGAATACCCGAGGCGCACAGACAATCCTAAAATCAATAATCTAGCTTATTAGCATGAACCAGAGAAAATCCAGGAGTAATGAGCTGATTCCAAAACATTAATCCAGTTGTACAAATGTGAGCGGCTGAATCTGTTGTTGAGTGTTACAGATTGGCATCTGATGGCAGGATCCAAACACCTCCCCATGACGCATGGATCCTGCTGGTTTTGCAAATGTGCCAAGGAAGACAAATGTATGAAAACGCTGCAGGTGTCCATATTCTGTCCCTCACACCTGATGATTTTCTACTTCATTAGCACTAATAGACGTAAGCCCTAGAGCTTAAATGAACTTCGTCCAATTCTGGATTTATGTTTTGTTTGTAAGGAGGGAGAGAAAGAAAGAGAGAGAGAGGGAGAGAGAGAGAGAGAGAGAGAGAGAGAGAAAGAGACAATGTTTTGAATGAGGACTAGTTCTAAATTGGGTACATCTGTCATTTTATTTCCATTGAAATCTTATCATTCGCTGATTTTCAAGCTGTAATGTGGCTTCAGCAGTATTTATACACTTGATATTAAAAGATAGTGGTCCAAAAAGGAGAAGGATTTTCTGTAAGAATCACCAGATCTTTTCAACTAGGAAGGTAACAAATATGCAGTTTGTTAACATGATTAGTTGTCAGCATTTCTCCCTGAGGTGGTGGCCAGCGTGTGTCTCCACATACGTGCCTATGGTGCATCTTATAATATCAGTAGGGGCAGATTGCTTGTTTTTAATTCGATGCTTGCTTCTTTTCCACAAACTATTTGCGAGACTGGGCCTTGGATGGTGATGTTCACACTGGGGTTACTGTTGGTTCATGAGTATGTGACATTGTTGATATGCCTGCCTAAAGGGCCACAGACCCACTCCAACTTGCAACAGTGAGACTTCTGCTTTGGATGTGTACGGCTCTGGTCATCACTGTAATGTGAATACTGGGACAGGGGTATATGGCAGGAAGATATGACAGCTACTCAACAAAGCAGGGAGGTAAGAGCTACAGGAATGGCTGTTTTAAAAAAATAGAAAACAAAACACCAACCATGGCCTCTGTTGCCGAGTGGCTTACTAGCACGTGTGTTACATGCACAAAGTAAGGTAGGTCATTGTGGTTCAGAGGGCCATTGCCCCAAGGGAAGATGATGAGGAATTAGAGAACAGGCAAGGAACGAGACCAAATAAGAAACCCAGGCAGTCCCGGGGGATGGTTAGCCACAAGCCTCCTCAGAAAACTGCAAGTGATCCATAAAACAAGTAAAGACATGCTTTGCAATTTGTACACTTGAAGCTGGGAAATGGATTACAACATCCTAGAAAGCACGAAAGGTACGCTAAGGAATGAAGAACACAGCTAACATCTTACTCGTGTTTTTACTCTTTGATTACTCTTCAAACAAATAAAAGATTTGTTTGCAAATGCTTTTGGGAAGACATATACGTAACATTATAATGAACATTTTCTCCCTCCTGAAAATGTCAAAACATTTTATTGGAAGCAGTGACTATTTTCTGCAAACCCTCTAGAGAAAAGGATCCATGCCTTAGGATTTTTTCCCCCCAATCTCATTTATCTCAAATTTCCAAAATGAATTTGAAAATTAATCTTTCAATAAAGCAGCTTTTTTTTCCCCCCTGGCAAGCACACATGTTCCAAGGTCCCTGTCTCTGGTTGGGAGCTGTGAATCGAATCCATCCCATTTTGTAGTTCTACCCAGTGTATTTTTTCCTCTCTGTTTCACTGAAAGCACAAATCCAGGCAAGCTCTTTTTTTTTTTCACCAATAACCAGGTCAACTAAAGCCAGAGCCTCAATTTCCATTGCAAAGGAACACTTAAAAACAATTTCCAGAAATCTGTAAATGTGCTTGACAAATCACAGTGTTCTTTTACTCTGGCACTAGAAATATTTCCTTGCAGTGAAAAAAGCAACACTAGCTCCTGAAAGACTTCGTTTCTCTTACCTTTTTGGCCGAACATCTGAGAGATGTCTGAGTATCAGCAGCATTTTTATTAAATCTAAAAAAAAAAATCCTGAATTCCTTCAGAAATTTTTGAATAGAAAAAAAAATGCAGGCGCTGGCATTGAGGTGTAGGGGGGAAAGGTGGCACCTGCAATGCTGGCATGCTGTATGGGTGCTGATTCAGGTCCCAGCTACTCCATTTTCAGTGTAGCTTCCTGCTTATACACCTGGTAAAGATGATCCAAGCTACCCGTGTGGGAAACCCAGGGGCTCCTGGCTCCTGCCTTCTGTAGCTGCCATCTGGGAGAGTGAACCAGCGGATGGAAGAGCTCTCCAATTTATCTTCTGGCTATGTAGACTTTCAAACAAATAAAAACAAATCTTAAAAAAGAATAAACTCTCAAAAAATATTTAAGAAAACCTATCTTCTTACTAATTTTTTTTTTGTTAATATTTGGAGAAAGCAGAAAAAGTTTTCTGGAATTCCAAAACTTTCTTTTCTCATACCAAGTGAGAATATTCTTGGAATGAACATACGACACTGTCATTACTACTGGCTGGAACGGGAGTTGAACACTGACATTGAATTTGAAATATGGTGGCCCACATCCCAATAGACACAGCCACAGCTGTTACTTGTGATCAATCATGTGTGCTTCTATGTTAAGTCGATAAAGCAAACTGAATATATATTATGTGCCACAAATAAGGTAAGCTTCAGCAACATTACTTTCTCATGCTCTTGACTGACAGTTCTAATTTAGCTACTTAGGAAAAAGCTTCAGGGTTATTTGGGCCACAGTGCCTTAACTAAGCTTGGGTGTGGTTTTAATAACATTCATCAGAAGTGTCTCAAGCAATACAAATTTATCATAGAAATAGCTAGAAGGAAATAACCCAATGGACAAGACTAACTTCCTCTTTTCAGAAAATCAGAGGTAAACAACAGACACTCAAGGTCGCTCTCTTCCTCTGGCTTCCACTGTGTTGGCTCTCAAATACAGCTGCTCTTCAAGATCACCTGAGAAACTTTAACAATTATGGATGCCTAGGGGTCACTTTCAGAAAGTCTGAATTAATGCGGGGTGAAACTTTAGCATCAAGGTTTTTTAACTTTTGCAAGTTATATGCATCAGCAGCAAATTTGGAGAACCACTGGGTGTCTGACCCCAGCCCCTCCACCACGGACTGGGACATCCTGCGCGCTTTCCTCATTTGCAGTTTCGCTTCATCCTTTGTTCTGTGTTTATTATTATTATTATAATTAAGTGAATAACAATTGCACCTGTTTGTGGACTGTGGGATGACACTTTAACACATGCGCTGATCCCGCGGGAGTATCCAACATTCCCCCTTCTTTGATATCACTTTATGACAAACAGAGGTTTGGAGCTTTCTACTTGTATTTGTGTTTATAATATATACTAGAATATTGTGAATTATGTCTCCCTACTATGCTGTGTAACACCATGGATTTATTCCTTTGCTCCAACTCATGTAATACCCATATTCAATCACTTCCACCCCTCCCAGTCTCTACTAATCACCATTCTGTGTTTACAGTGAGTTTTTAAAGCTTCCACATATTAGGAGGAAACAAGTATTTATTTTTCTGTATGACTTATTTAACATGATATAATGTCTTTTAGTTTCAACGATTATGCTGCAAATTTCATTTTTTATGGCTAAATAGTATTTCATTGTGCATATACACACACCATATTTTCTGTATGGTTGATTCCATATCTTGGTTATTGTGAATATTGCTACTATGAGCATGGCAGAGACCGTATTTCTTTGACACAATAATTTCATGCCTTTTGGGTGTATACTCTGTAATGGGATTTTTGGATCATACAGCAGTCCTATCTAAGCTTTTTAGGACTCTCCCTACTGTTTTCCACGGTGGTTGTGCTAAATTACATCTCTACCAAAAGTGTATAAGACTTCCTCTTTTTCCTTATCCTTGCCAGCATTTGCTGCTCTCTGTCTTTTTGGTAATAACAACTGTAACAGGGGTGAGGTGATACATCATTGTGGTTTGGATTTGCATTTCCAAGATATTGAGTGACACTGAACATTTTTCACTTGTTTGTCCTCCTGTTCTGAACAACTGACCTTCCACATTTCCACCTAGTTTCAACTCTTCTTGAGCTGAAATAAGCAGAGGAGACAGTTGAAGGAGACATACCAGGAAGTGACAAAGTACCAGGGAGTCTGGCACACTTGCTATGGGGCCACCGGAAGAATCTGTCTTGGGAGCCAGCGACAGCATGGTAGAAGTGATATCTGACTTGATTTTGAACAGTAGGAAGGCCTTCAACACCAAGAGGCTGACATTCAGGACAGCTGAACAGGAAAAGCCTGGAGTACCAACTATATCAAAATCCTCAATAAGCTGACAGAAAATGCATATTATGAAAAAATTATATGTGGATTTCAATTTTTTAACACCTACACACTTACTTTTAATTACATCTTTTCATGGACTTTTTGGATATGCTTTCATATTTGCACAAAAGTGCACAAAGATAATGGGTAGTCCCAAAAGCAACTGGTCAGAGACTTCTAGTTTTTCCTCTACTGTTTTTTTTTCGATTGAGTAACAGAAAGTCTAATTTTAGTTGGGCACACTTTAGTTTGCTAAACAAACAAACCAGCAAACATATTTCCTAGTTTCC